GGCCTCTTCCAAACGAGGCGTAGAAGGGACACAGTTCACAGAACAACAGAATCCTCCTTCCCACAGCCCCCCAACACACACACACACACACACACACACACACACACACACACACACACACACACACACACAGTGGACCTCTGCACTCATCCTTGCAAAAAAAAAAAAAAAAAAAAAAAAAAAAAAAAAGTAGGTCATAGCCCATTTGGGGACTCGGGTGAGAGAATTCAGCCAAATTCCATGGATTCATTCCAAAAGATCCCCAGGCTTTCCAGACTCCATGTCAGAAACTTTTAAAGGAAGAGCCTCTCCTGGTCTTAACACAGCCCTGAAGCCTCGTGGGCTGGAAATCAAAGGTGAACAGCAGAGCATGGGCTCCCAGGCTGCGCCTTCGAAACCAGTTGGCTAGAGCAGGAAGCTTCCACTCTCACCTCAAATTGATCCTGGTCCAAAGTGAGGTGGAGGTGGGGGTGGGGGGGAGGAAGAATTCGGAACAACTTCCAATAATCCTGGGACCCCAGCAAGGAGACATCCTTGCGTAACCAAAGGCTTCTTCAAACCCCAACACTTTGTTGTCAGTGACATCTCGTAAGACAGCACAAGGGGGTCTGTTAAATATCCCACAGGGGTGTACGAGGCTCCCACTGGGGGTGCCGCACAGCATGGCCATGGACTTGCTTTGATGTGGTGCCAGCTGAGGTGGGCCCTGGCCAAGCTGCCCCTCCCCCCAAAGAATCCTGAGCCAAGATTCACTCAGGGAGACGCCTGGGTGGCATAGTCATGCCAACTCCCCAAACAGAAGGGCGAAGGGGCCAGGCAGGCCCAGCTAAACTGAGAACTGGGTGCTACAGCACTGAAGCAGGGGTACATTCTGGGAGATTCCCACGGATGAGGGCGTCATTCCCAAAGGGTCAGCCCAGAGAGGCTCTCCTGTGACCACCGTCAAGGCCAGTTTTGTCCATTAAAGTACCCAGGGAAGGAAGGCTGGGGGGGGTCCCCAGTTCCTGCTCCAAATACCATGGCACTGGACTCTCCCATTTTCACAGTAAAGGTTTCCACCTGGGGTACCCACTATGGGGAGAGGGGAGAAGCCTGGAGTAAGCCAAGGCCAGGAAGGGAAGGGAGAGACCTCCTTCCTGGGCATAGCGGAAGCCTGTCTGCTGTCCAGATGCCCCTCTCCAGCCTCCTGTCACCTCCCAGGCACCTCCATAAATCCCCCAGGGTCCACGGGTCAGTAAGTCAGGCCTGCAAGAGGTCAGCTCCTCTCCTCAGAACCCGCCTTCCCACGCCATCTACTCCGAGCAGGTGTCTCTGGTTATTTCCTCTTGTTCCAAGAGCTAATCTCTACAGAATATAACCTCAGGTGGAGGCACAGAGAGAGAAGGCAGACTGGAAAGCTGTTTCGACATATTCAGATCCATAGACCTGGACGGGTCCTTGGAGACAGGTGAGCATCCTTCTGTGAGCAACGAGGAAATCAAAGCCACCACAGAGTGAAATGGTCCATCCAGAACCACTCGGGAGATGGAGGCAGAGTGAGCACAGAAGGCAGGTCTCCTGGCTCAGGGCCACCATGGCAACCCCCTCCGCCCATGACCAACGGGCCTATGCTTCTCTCCAGTGCACCTTCCCCACCCCCACCCCCACCCCCATGCCCTCAAGCCTCAACTCGAGAGTTGGAGGCAGAACTCCCAAAAGGGCACTTGGCCATGCTGTAACGACCCCCAGATCCTGCCAGCCTCATCCTAAACAGAGGCTCTGCCCTTATCCCTGCCCTACCGCTTATAGGGCCATGGGGATGGGACACCAGTTAGAGGAATGCCTTGGCTCTAGAGCTGGAGCCCACCTGGCCACAGCCGGGAGCACCTGGAACTTCCTACACAAGACCCAATTCAAAAATCTGGAGACCACACCGTTCACGGGTCCTGGAGTGGCTGTTGTTTAAATTTACGTGCCAGCGTATGTCCGCTTGACAGCTCAGCTGAGCGCCTCTCAGGCACTGCCAGCCCTTAGCTCCTGGGAGGCCTCTCTCCTGGCCCTCGCAGTCCTGAGTCTTATTTAAATACCTTTTCTCATTCTAAGTTTTGAAGTTTATCCCCCAATACTCCTGTTCCTGGCTCTCCCACCTCCAGACAAACAAAGAAAACCAAAACCCCTCTGGCTCTTTAAACAGAGACAGATGTTTTACAAGCCACCAAAATCAGCCTGCTCCAAGGTCTCCTGTCTCAGTCTCACTCCGGGCCACGGACCCCTTAGGAGCCACGCATATTGTTCCTCCTTGAAATAACACTAACAAAAGGGGTGCTAGTGTTCATGCTGTTCCTCTGCTCAGGACTCCTCAGGAACATCTGGGTGAACTTGGCTTCAGGCCCCTGCAGCCCACAGGCCTTGGGGGGATACACCCGGCCCACAGGTGTGCACTGGGTCCTGAAGGCCCCAGCTTGTCATCACTGGGGTTGGCCTCAGGCTGGCCCTCCAGCTCTCTTCCAGACCCTCATCCATGTGTGTGAGGCATCCTGACAGGGTCATGTCAGCATTTAGAACAAGGACAGAATGCGTCTTGATCCGAGAATTGTGATGCTCCCTTCCATCAGTTTGGGAATCGCGCTGCCCATCAAGTCTCTGCAATTTCTCAGCTACCAGGAAGCTCAGAGCTCCCGCCAGACCGCACACTTCAGCGTGTGCTTCCCCTGCTTTTGCAGGCTCTGGGTTTCTACTTCTAACCACCCTCTTGTTTGTGCCTAGTTTGATTTTAAACTGCCTCAATCCAGGGCCTTGGGGGGCTATAAGGTGTTTGTTTTTTAAGTAAGCAAGAGAGAAGAACCCCACTTCTTCCTGGCTTTCCCGAGCCCTGCGGCCGGCTCGGCGAATCAGCCTGTCTCTCAACTCCAGCAGCACTTGTTGCAAAACAAGATAGGGCTTCCCCTTCGGTGTACATGCCGCCAATCGCTCCCCTGGGACAAAGGAGGCCTCCCGTCCCCTCTGCTGCCCCTGTCTCCACCCGCCCTGTCCTTCACTTCCACCTCCCTGCCAGGCCTCACAGGCTCCACTTCCATTGCCCCTCCTTTAGGACCTGCTGTTTCCAGCAGAGGTCTGCCTCGCTGCCCACACCCAAGGCTTCTCCATCACCCAAACACTGAGGATGCCCAAATCTGCAGGCTTCTCCTGCCTAGACTCCCTCTTGAGCTCTACCAACTCCTCTGCACCACCTCCTTCACTGCTTGTGGCTTTAATCACAGTGAAGCACCCAGCAACTCCCAGCCCTCTCCTCCATGCTAGCCCCTTCACTGAGCTCCAGGCCCACAAGTCCAGTTGCCCCCCAGACACTGCCATAGGGATGGCATGGTCCCCCAGGCATCTCAAACACTGAACGGCCCCATTGCCCCATAGTTATTCAACCAGGAAACATGGGAGCCACCATCCACTTATCCATTCAAGTAACGTTGTGGCGCACTGACCACGTGCCAGGCTCTAAGTGCAGGATGAGGTATGAAGCAACAAAACAGAAACAGCTTTTGCCTCCAGGGAACTTTCAAACCAGTCACCCAGTCCTGTCAAGGCTACTTAACAATCATCTCTGAAATGACTTACTTGTCTCCATCCCCACACCACTATCTAAGTCCAGGCCAGTTATGCTATAGGGGGATGAAAGCAGTATAGACCAAATCCCAGCTCTGAAATGCATGACCTGTATGACCTTAGGCAGGTAACTTTCTATAGCTCTGTTTCCTCATTTGGCAGATAGAGATGATAACAGTATCTACCTCGTAGCCTGCTGCAAGGATTAAATGAAATAAACCACATAGTAGACCGGTGTTTTGCATATAGTAGGCACTCTGGCTATCTAAACTATTGTGAGCCCCGGGTCTACAGCAGCCTCACCTCTGACCTCCCCACCTCGTGGCCTATACTCTGTATGCGCCCGCCACCTGCCCAGGCTCTCTGCAACGCTCCGGCCTTTGTATATGCTTTCCCAGCTGACTTATTCCCTGGCTTTAGCCCTCTCATTGTCCAAGATTCAGCTCAAGCCCCTCCTGTGGACCCCCAGGCTAAGGCAAATGTCCCTCCCCTGTGCTCCCTCCTCAGGGAGCCCTCAGCCCTTGTCCCATTGCACTGGGGTCACCGCTGTCCTTGTCCGTTTCCCCTTCTGCACTGGGTGCTCCTTAGAGAGCATGCCCAGGCCTTAGAACCCAGCACTGAATGCAAGAGGGACTTGATAAATGCTTTGCAACAAACAGGGAAAACATAAGAATTATAAAGAGGCAAATTTCAACTCACCGTAACAACAACAAAAACCTTCCTGGTAATTAGGATATACTTATCAAGCAGTTACTATATGCCAGGCTCTGTGCTAAGCTTTAGACACACATTATGTAATCAGTCCGCAAATAACTCTGGGGTATGGGTATTTTTATGCCTGTTTTGCTGATGAAGGGATGGAGACTTGAGACATTTTTAAAACTTGCCCCAAGTCACATAGCTAGTAAGTGGAAAAGCCTGGGTTTGAATCCAGGACTGTCAGACTCCGGACCCATGTTCCACCCCAGCACTCCAAGGGCTCAGCTCTCGGTGTGGAAGGAGCTGTCTCTGTGACTTACAAGAGCCCCTTCCTAATGGCCACATGACCTCATGGGGATATATTAGGAGAGGGGCTTTCTTTAGAAGTGGGGATTGAATTCATAGAAGGACCCTTCCTATTCCCAGCTCTAGGGGGTCTGTGATTTAAATTATAAGCTCCTAGGGGTTGTTCACCTTGGTTTCCCCATAGAGATTAGCATGAGGCTGGGCACACAGAAGGCAAACAATAAACCTGTGCTGAATGAATGAATGAATGAATGAATGAATGAATACGTGCATGCATGAATGAATGAATGAATGAATGAATTGACAGTTCATTCTGCACATGTCCACGTCACCCTCTTTGCTGGGCTGAGGATCATAATCCAGCAGACCCAAGGGACGCCGGGAAAGCAGGGCTCCCTGGCGGCCGGCGCTCTTACCGGCACAGGTGGTCAGTGCGGCACACGCTGCGCAGGTCCAGGCAGTTGGGTTTGTCCTTGTCCTCGTAGGAGCAGCTGGGCAGGATGGTCTGCCGGCGGCGCTCGGCACACCCTGGGTCCTGGCAGGAGCAGAAGAGCATGCGGTAGGTGTACTCGCTGGGCACCCGGTCGAAGAACTGACGCAGGGCCTTGTGGCACTTGCGGCGGTTACAGATCTCGCGGTTGCAGATGGAGATGTAAGAGGAGCGCAGCTTCTTGCAGTTTTCATTCAGGTTGCATGCCTTGGCGGCGTCCAGGCAGTGGTTGCTCTTGGCGCTGACCGCTGGGTCCGCCCCTGTCCCTGGAGGAGGAGGAAGAGGGAGGTTCAGAGGTCTGCACAGGCACCTCCCAGCATTCACTAGGCTCGGCCTCGGCTTGCTCCTCTGTGAAACGGGATCCTTCCCAGGCCCCACCTACTCGGGCGATGGCAAGGACTACATGAGTGCGCCGCGTACAGGTCCACGAAGTGCTCAGGACAGTGCCTGGGCAGAGTATGCACATGTGGTGAGCTGATAGGATGATGACTGTTACTCCAAGGTTTTATTTAAGACTTATCCCAAGCTGAAAGGGGAGCACCTAGGTGTTTGTGGCTCTATTCACAAATGCAGGAGATGGGGAAATCAGGTGCTAACTCAAGACTGGACAGCTGGGTGGCAGTGCAGGCCAGACAAGTTTGGAGCCCCTGAGGACCAGCGGCAGCACACTGCAGCAGGGCTCTGGCAGGGATGCTACTGGCATTGAGGGAGGGACAACTATCATATGGGAGCTTCAGCAGCCAGGGCACAAACTGCACCACTGCCACCTTCCTTATACCCTCTACCCCCATGACCACCAGAACTGCCCCTCCACAGTTCAAAATGCCCAGCAGGGAGCTCAGGGGCGAGGCTGCTACCACGCTAGTAAGTGTCATGACCCACTAAAGAGGACACTCGTGATGGGGAGCCTGGCAGTGTGAGACGGAGGCTGAAGTCCAGCCCCAGACTCTATCTACGGAGCTGAGTGCACCACCAGCCACAGGGCAGAAGTACTGGATGCTAGGACTTTAGTGTCAGTGCTGCAGCTTTGAATCCTGTGCCACTGCCCACAAGGTGGACTGTCTGGACACAGGGCAGGACACCCAGGAATCATCAGGTTCCCCTGTGGTGGCTACACCACCCCTCAAGTCTCAGCTGTTCCAAGGGGAACACACAGCACAGGGACCACCCGACCCTCCACCGCCAGCCAACACCCACCTCCAGAGCTCCTCTTGTCCATCCTGATGATGGACAGACAGGGGAGGCGGGAATCCAGTCTGCACATGCCCCCCGAGACATACTGGTGACAGCAGATGGGCACTCATTGAACCTAACTCTCCATTTTACAGACAAAGAGACTGAGGTGCTTGCCCGAGGTCACCCAGCACCCTGGGAACAAACCAGGCCAGGAGCCCAGACCTCACCAGCACCGTGGTATGCCAGGGACAACCACTGGCTTAGATTTTAGGAGATGACATACCTTATCATTCATTCTTCATTCACCCAATAAACGCTTTTCTCCTACATAATAAATTTGCCCTGTCTGCTAGAACATCCCTTTCAGCTATGGCTTCGTCCATCATTAAGGAAAAAAAGACCTCCTCATGGCCATACACCCATCACTAAGCTACCACCTTATTTTTCTGCTCCCCTTTAAAGCAAAGCCCTTGAAACAAGTCATATACACCAGTGGTCGCTCTCCCTTTCTGTTCTCTCCGGGGCCCACTGCAGCCTGGGACTTGCGGCCTGCCTCCTCCATGGCCAGCGACCCTCAGCCTCCTCTTCCTCAACCCCTCTCCTCATGGCTGTCTGCTCTCTGCAGGTCCTCCTGCTGCCTTCCTGTGCTCTCCTCAGCCTGCTTCATGGGTTCCATCTTCTCCACCAAGGCTCAGCCCCCTTTCTCTATACACACCCACGCCCCAGGGCCCTAGCTCAACTTATGGCCTTAAACACCAGTGATACACTGTCGACTCTCAAATTTATATCCCCAACCAGACCCCCCACTGAACCCCAGATTCATACGTTCACCAGCCTGCTCACTACCTCCACCTGAAAGGCTGAAGCCCACATCCCAAACTTATCATGCCCCAAACCAAACCCCACGTTTCCCCAAGGCTGCCCCCACCCCCAGTCTTCCTCATCCCTCTGAAAACAGCTGCACCCTACCAGAGGTCAGGCCCAAACTCCTGGTGTTTCCTTGATCCCTCTCTCATTCACACACCATGACTGAAAAACCTGGCAGTTCTACCTTCAAAATACACCCAGAGGGCTGGCCGAGTGGCGCGAGGGTTAAGAACTGGCTTGGGACGCCAGAGGGCCCCGGTTCGGATCCCACATATGAGGGCCAGTGAACACTGCCCTCCACAGCTAAGATGCTGAACAACAGCTCAACCTGGAGCTGGGCTGCCGTGAGTCGCCGGCGACGCCATAGGCTGCAGCCCCTGCTGCAGTGGGTTGCCATGGGCTACCGTGTGTAGCCAGCAGCCAGCGTGAGCGGCCAGCAGCCGCCAAGAGCGGCCGTCCAGAAGCCGGCGACTGATCTGCCTCACCCGGGAAGAGCACAATGATGGTGCCAACTTGGGCAAGTGAAGCAACGTCCTCCACAACTAGATGGAAGAACAAAAACGAGAGCAACTTGTCTGTTCCCCTTCCCCCCAATTCCCCAGCACTATTCCCATCCCCCCAATTCCCCAATAAAAAAAATCTTTAAAAAAAAAAATACACCCAGAATCCAACCACTCCTGACCACGACCACTACTACCATGCTGGTCCAAGCCACTGTCACTATGTGCTGGTAAGGACCTCCTGCCCAGGCTTCCTACTCTGTCCTTGTGCACACGCACATGTGCGCACGCGCGTGCGTGCACACACACACACACACACACACACACACACACACACACACACACACACAGCCAGCCCACCCCAAGACAATCCTCTCATCACAGCTGGAGCAAACCTTCTACAATAGAACCTAAGGCAGAGAGAATAATGCTCCTGGGCCTCCAAGCTTCCAGTGCCGTCCCATCTCATTCAGAGGCCTTGGCATAGCCTACGGCGCTCTCTATCTGTGCCGCCCAATATGGTAGCCACACGCCACACATGGCCATTGAGCCTGAAATGTGGCTAGCCTGAAATGAGCTGTCCACAACAGATTTTGAAAATACACACCAAATTTTGAATACTTAGTAAGAAAAACAAAAATGGAAAGCATTCCAGTAATAACATTTTACTTTGATTACATGTTGAAGGGATAATATTTTGAAACTATTGTGTTGAACAAATGTATTATTAAAATTAATTTCAGGGCTGGCCGAGTGGCTTAGTTGGTTAAGAGCGTGAGCTCTGAGCAACAGGGTCACTGGTTTGATTCCCACATGGGCCGGTGAGCTGCGCCCCAGCTGAGCTGCCGCTGAGCTGTCAACAGGTGGCAGGGTGTCTCACCTGGTGAGAGCACATGCTCCTAACAACAAGGTTTCCGGTTTGACTCCCGCATGGGATGGTGAGTTATGCCCACCCACAACTAAGATTGAACATGGCACCTTGAGCTGAGCTGCCGCAAGCTTCTGATGGGCGGCCGGATGGCAACTGGACTTGGGAGCTGAGCTAGCTGCGCCCTCCACAACTAAGATTGAGGGACAACAACTTGGCTATTCCCCTTCCCCAATTTCCCAATAATAAAAAAAAATTAATTTCATTTGTTTCTTTTTACTTTTTTAATGTAACTACTAGAAAATTTAGAATTACATATGTGACTCATAGTATATTCTTATTAGCCAGCACTGCTTCATATGACCACACCTCCTCCCCCTTCCCTGTTCACTTACTCCATTGCAGCCACACTGGCCTCCTGGCCCTTCCTGGAGGGTCCTCACCGCAAGGCCTTTGCACTCCCTGCTTCCTCTGCCTGGAAAGCTCTCCCTCTCCCCCATGACTCCAGAGCTACTTTCCTGACTTCTTTCAGGTCTCTGCTCAAATGTTACCTGATCTGTGAGTCCTTGCAGACCACCCCTATACATAATAACAAGTCACACTCCCTTTACCCTCTACACTCTGATCTCTTTGCCCCACTGAACTCTTCACCACCTGCGAATGTATATATTTACTTACTCATGTGTTTGTTTGTATCAAATATAAGCTCCCTGAAGGCAGGGGCTTTACTCTCTGTGCTCACTGTGCTGTATCCATACTTCCCAGTGTCTGGTGCGTGGTGTACGGAACACCCATTTGATGAGTAAAAGAATAAATGTACTTAGAAGAATATCTAGTTCATAATAAGTGCTCAAAAAGTGTTGGTTAACATTATTAAGGAAGCCCAGCTGACGCAGAGCTGGCAATGGTGGTCAACACAAGACCACTTCTGATCAGGTATCAGGGTGGAGCCCAGCTCAGAAGTGAAATTCAGGGAAAATCGACAAAGACTGAGCCATCACCCCAACAGCCTGCCTCTCTAACAATAGTCCTACAAAGGCAGAAAGAGCAGACTCCCTCTCTCCTTATATTGGGTTGTCAGAAAAGTCATGATGCATTTTTGCAACGAAAAACATAGAAAAAATATGTCATGACTTTTCAGACAACCCAATACAAATAAAAGGAGAATTAAGGCAGAAAGGGCATTAAGGTTTGTTTTCCTACTCATTCAGTTAACAAATCTTTATTGAAGACCTACTATGTGCAGGCACTTCCCCAGAGACACAGCTGGGGACAAAGGTACAAGGTATGCATTGGGGAAGTTGGGCTGTTGTGACAGCAGCAGAGGAAAGCATCCTGCCCAGACCCTGGGTCACAGAAGCAGTGACATCTCTGCTGAAACCTACAGGGTGATGAGTCAGAGGGAGAAAAGGGAGCAGAAAGGGGCACCCAGGGAGATGAAATGAACAGCAAGGGAAAAGGCTGGGAGGAGTTGACCATACTCAGTGTGCCTGGAGATCGACACTGAAAGAGGGCCTGAACAGGGACTGAGCAGAGATGACGCTGGAGAGCCAAGCTAGGGCTTGCCAGCCACAGTTGACTATCGTAGCAGTCCCCTGAGCTGCTGCCAAGCCATTCTGCCCGGGCCAGGCAAGCACCCAAGGACGCCTGTCCACACAAAGGCAGTTCTGGAAGCACAGCCTCTAAGGGAGGGTTCTCCCTGGCCAGTCAGGCGGTTCTTTCTCATTCAGTGCACCTGTCAGGATGCTGGCTGGCAGAAGGGAAGAGCCAAGCAGCCTGGGCCAAGGTGGAGAAGAGCAAAGATGGAGAGGGACCCCAGAGAGGGGCAGGGCGACAACCACGAACAGAACAGCCG